CCCCCCCCCCCCCCCAAAAAAAAAAAAAAAGCTGCACACGGAGGTGAAGGAAGGGAGACTCCTCCGAGCATTCACTCATTTGTTGGTTAAATTCAAGACATCTTTCCGACCCGGCTGTCGTGATTGCAACATTGCCGTGTCAATACCGACTCATTTGTTAGGTTGCTGCACATGCGGGGCAATCTCATGTGACACGTCGCTGCTTTGAGACCATGCTCCGCATGAAAGGTGAGGAGTCACTGACGAGTCTCTCCAAAACAAGTGACAGAATTGCTCAAGTGGCAGTTTGGAGCGGTGCAACTACTCCTTCAGAACCTGTGAAGTTGGAGCTGTGACGGGTTTCGAAGATTGACGGTCTATTGCTGCACAGTTGCCACCTCCTTGCAGAGTCGCTCTACTGCCCAAGGCTTCGGCTTCTCGCATCTTCTCGCTTGAGCTCGTCCCTTCAGTCCCTTCTCAGCTGCGCACAGGAGTTGCCCAGGCACTCNNTTTGAAGCCACGCACTGTATCAGAGACACCTGGCAAGTGTAAAGTATCAAGGAATCCACAGTACACGGAAGTAGGCGGTTGTGTGTGTGTGTTTGAGACATGTTGAGGACAGACTCTGCACTTCTGCTGCCAAGGCCACGGCGTTCGGATGCCATCCGTCCCTCGCGAGACTCACAGCCGACACACGAGGACACGTGCAGCTCTACCGGCCCCACCGGCACAGGGGGTCGCAGAAGCCCAGGTGCGGAATCTCCGGCAAGTCTATGGAGCACCTCGAGAGCGCGGGTGCGGCGACATCCCACAAGCTTCTACAATCAAGAAAAACGTGCCCGCGTCACGGGCGCAGCGCGTGGGCGTTCAAGATCTGCCCCTCTCCCGAGCCGGTGCGTGGCACCTGCGCACTCGCAAGGCTTCGACATGTGCACTGCGACGTGTTTCCAGCGCCTGGCAGGGCATTCCCAGACAAGAGAAGGTCCTCGAGGGTGCACAGCACTGAGTCGTGACTACGGCAGTCCTGTCTCTAAGGCAGCAGCGACGGTGCGAGGACCCCCGCGACACAGGGAAGGATGCTCTTCCGCAGCACTGGATCCCAAGGCAACTCGGCATGCGAGATGCTGTGGTGCAGGTGGCGAAGTTTCGCCATGCTTTCACGCGGTATCCATGGCGGCATAGCAGTGCAACTGCAGCTGAGGGCAGCACGCCGTCCAGATTTGGGGTATAGCCATTTCTACACCTGTGACTGAAGCTGACAACAGTCCGGAGTGTAGTAGGGACTTGATAAAGTAGTGCCTGGGTGTGCAGTACGATCCGTGAACCTGCATCAGTTCGATAATCAAACCCCGTGGAATCTGGCAGCAAAAGGTCAGCTGCTCCACGAGAAGCTCAGCACCTCACAACCACAGAACCACCCTCTTCGCAGTTTGTATGGTTCTCTTCCTCCTCCCTGAGCCATAGCTTGCAAATGCTTGCAAGTTGCGCGCGCTTGCTGCGGTGGTGGCGTTGGAACTGCTAAAACCTCCGTTGCTGCGACTAAGTCTCTGGCCCCCCGAATGCAATGCCGACTGGGGCAGAGCAGTTCAGACCGATACACTGAAAGGTCGATGGAACCAGCCTTAGTGTCGCAGACAGCAGCAGACTCTTCACCACTGCAAGTCCGGCAAGTCCGTGTGTGTTTGCATGTTGCCGTGCCGGCTGGGTTTCCTTGCTGGCCGCTCAGACACAGGAGCAGCCCATTGCTGCTCGCAACTGCCAGAAGCGACGTGATCTTCGTCGAGAACAAACCTCGCAGCTTGCCCCGGGCCTTCGAGGATGTAGCCCTCCGCGCACCGTGGCTCGCATGTGCCTCGAGTGTCGAGACTCTGAGCCTTTGCTCCTTTCGATCCCTGCTTCCTCTCCTTAGGCTGCCGGCCGAAAGCTGAAATCACCACGCCTTCGGCCTGAGACGATGGGGCGCTGGAGCTGATCCCTCTCTGGTAACCTTAATACTGCACAACCATAAGCGCAGATTATCCAACCCAAAGGGCCGATTACCCAGCGACATGATAGAGGTGATGCTGGTGGTGCTGATTCCAATTGAGCACAGCTTGAGTTTGTGCCGTGCTTTGCTCGTACTTGCAGCCGGAAAAGCCTCGGTCGTGGTCCGTACCGGCCAAGTTTTTCCTGCTGCATTCTATCAGACCGTGGCTCAGCAAAGCCAGCCGCACTCACGCTGTGGTTTCCTTTCATTCTGTGAGGGTTCACAGGTGCTGAGCCGTGCAGACGATGGACCTCCCAAGAAGCCCGATTGCTCAACCAAAAACGACTAAAAACACCAAGATGGCAAATATGTTCCACCAAGAAGGGCCGACTACCCAACCAGAACAATGGAATATCCAACCAACTCCACCCCGCAGAACCTAACCCCACCTAACCGTAGCCCCTCCTAAGCTAAGCTAACCAAGCCGAACACAACGAAACCATTTGCAAGAGACACCTTGAAAACCGAACGAACCCCAATTTAACCCCATCCAACCCAAAGACCAACCCAACCCAAAGTCCCCCAACCTGACCTCTTCCCCATCGTAACCCAACCTAACCCAACCCATCCCCTAAAGGCATTCCTAAGCCAACAAACCCTAAAATCAAAAACAGCCGAAACACAGCACAGATGCACCCGACGAGGACTTGACCCGGCCTAACACAACCCAGGCTAGCGTATGCTAGCGTAATTCCAGTCGTATTCCAAGTTAACCCAACCGACCTGGAACCCACAAAATCTGGCCCAAACCAACATAAACCAACCTAACCTAAACCGACCTGGCCGAAACCCCAGGCCTCAAGCCAAGCCTGACCCAACCGACGCAATCCATCCCACCCAACCCCCACCTGAGGAAAGAAGGAGCAAGTTGGAAATGCACTCTTAGTATTGTTTCCGACTTGTGCCCAACGAAGTCAGGACGGAAGGGACTGAACCTGCCCCAACCTCACCCCGAACCCATCCCACCTCCTCCCAGCACACTGACCAACCAAATCCCGACATAAACTGACCCAGCCCAGCCCGGCATGACCCCAGCCAACCTTGCCTAGGATTTTTTTGGGTCAGTTAAGTCCTCCGGATTTTTGCTTTGGATAGTTCAGGTCCAGGTCAGGGTCGAGGTTGCTGTGGGGTACGGTTTGCATGGCGGTTTATGGATTGGGTCAGGTTGAGTCAGGCGTGGTGGGTTAGATTATCGAGTGTCCAGGTTAGGTCAAATCCGGGGGGGGGGAGTAGGCTGCACGGTCTTTCATTCGTGGTGCATGTACCATTACATCCCTCTCGAGATCAAGCCTCTCCGTTCAGACATGTGGTTCGGACTTACCAACTCGGACATGGCATTCTAACGTTTTAGCACCAGATGGGATCCTATCACAAGTACAGTGGCGTGCAGTTCGGATTGGAGGTTGGACATGGTCAGCTTGGGTGGCCTCAGACTTGAGTGGACTGGTCCAACTGCTGCAAACCCGACCTGCCCGTCAAAAAGGAAGCCAAGGTAGCAGATGCGAGAAGCTTGGTTGTGATTTTGGTTTTTTGGTTGTGTATTTGGTCCGTCTTGGTGTGTGTAATCCGAGCTCTATAGAATCCGTCTTGCTTGTGCAAGCTTGGTTGGTTGGTCAACTGATCCCTTCTGTGAAAGCTCGAGCCGCTCGAGGCTGGGCTCCTGGCGCACGAGCCGTCTGGATGCTGTCCATCAACTACAGGGGCCTGCGTGTCAGATTCGTCAGTTTGTCCGTGTCGCTGAAACGTCGCTCTGTGGCCCGACCAAGCAGTCACCCTGACAGAACGGCACGGCAGACAGGGCCGCAAGGGCCCACAGAGTCCTCAGAAGCCGCGCATCGTCCGTAGGTTTCGCAGTTGCACGTTCCGAGCCAGGTCGCTGGGTGCATGGTAGGCGTCGCAGAGCCATGTCCGTGGCAGGTGCGACATGATGTGATTGCGAGAAGCGGCAAATATTCAGGGCAGCTCGACTTCGGAGGAGCTCTTCTGGCATGGTGACAGCATGCTTTGCCGAGGTTTTCGGCCCGTGATCAATCTGCAACTGTCTCTCCCAGGATCCAAGCCAATGCAGCTGCAATGTCAGGCCAGGAAGTCTCAGGCTCCGCAAACAGCACCGAAACTGCTTTTGCCGCGAAGTGCAGGACGGCACCTGAAGAGCACGCCCACGCGGTCGCCCATTCGAAGAGCCTGCTCAGGCAGTCGCAAGGAAGAATCTGCTAGAAACCACACGGTGCTTGCAGGGCTAGCTGAACTTTAAGCTAAGCTGAGCTCACGCACATAGCACTTTTCTCAGCCCAGCAGGCTCTCAGCAGTTTGCGATATGCCGAAGACATCGAGGACCAGCTGGAGGTCCCCGGAGCCCACGCCCAGCAACTCCTGGCACTTATTCTGGTGCTGGTGCCGCACATCAAAGCCACAGGATTGTCCTTCACAGAGTCGTACAGAAGGAACTGGGCGCAAATGGCCTCCAATCAAACTTTAGACTCAGCAGAAGCAGGCCTGCCGTCACTTCGAACACATGCAACTTCTGCTCAGCTAAGAAGCTGCCGCAAAGTAGACACTGCGAGCCCCCAGGCCCTTCCACAGATCGAGCTTGCCGGGAGACCTGCGACCTGGAACGTAAGGGACAGCCGAAACCACACCAGACGAAATCTCTGCACATCCGTCGTAGGCGCACAAACACACGTGAGTGTTAGAAGACGGCCATCAGAGCCTGACCTGTCCTGAGCTACTGGTAGCAACTCATGCCTTGCTGTATGTCTGTTATCACCCGAGTTCGCCTGCAGCATCTGCTGAGGAGATCTGTGTTATGATGACCTGAGATGGAGCCCCGGCGCACGCCGCTCCACACTAGCACAACCACATCTCACTGGCAGTCACCTGCAACTCTTCCCTTTCTCGGAGGCACGTCGGCGGGGTTGGAGACCACGGCGGAGGCCAGGCCGGCGATGGCGCCGGCCACAGCCGAGATCTGCAGGCTCGCGGCATCCGCTGCCGCCGGGAACAAGCTGAAAAGGCCACCTCGGCACCGAGAGCCCAGAATCGGAGAACCTGCTTGCCTTGCGGCCCTCTGCTCTGAGTCGCGTGAAGCCAGACCGAACACGAGGAACTTGCCTCAACTCGAGCTACGATCCGATCATCCAGAGTGCATCTGCCTTTCGCCCTTTGCCGAGTCACATGCAGAGAAGGGAATCTCCCTAGCCCAGAAGGGCCCGAGGCCTGCCCAAAGCTCAGAGAATCCTTTGCTCACCTGGCGACAGGCCGAGTGCAGTCCGTTTCTCTTGTCTCTCCGAAATTTCGCCAGCAGGGCAGCTTCGGTGGCCAACTCTCCTGATTTGTGCTGCGCGCTTTTGTCATGCACCTCGTGGCCTTGTAACCCGAAACCCAACTGCCGCTGGAGAAAAAAGGACTGAATCCCTTCTCTCGCCACGTCACCCCAGGAGCGGCTCTCCGTGGGGGCCATCACGCGCACGCGCAAGGTTTCAAAGGGTGCGGCGATGAAGCCCTGCGCAGCGATGCGCAGCGTTTTTCGACCCTTGGAAACGAGATTCGGGGAAGGGCCACATGTGTTCAGCCAAGAGTCTGAAACGAACACGGCCGCAATCGATGCGCCAAGCACCAGCAAGGCACTAGGTTGACCGGTTGCGTCACCAGTCATTGATTCCAGGCTCCGCCTCGCGGAAGGCAAGTATAGCATGAGACACAACCCGAGAACGGCGGCGAGACACAGAAGTCCAACGGCATGAGATGAGACAAACAGACACGGAGCAAATAAGAACCATCACGCACGAGTCCGACCACAAGAAGCCAACAAGAACCCGCGACAGAGGAGTCCGACCGAGACAAAGCAAACCGAGCGAAACGAAGAAAGCCAGAACCCACATGAGACAGCACAAACCGGATCAAAAAGCAATTGGGGCACATTGGGGCACGGGAGTCCGACCGCATGGTTGAGAGTCTTGAGAGTATCCGTTGCCAGGGAAGATTTGGTACACATGCGTACACAGATAATGCGTTGACAAATTTAAGTTGCTGCCAGTTTGTCTACCAATGCATTTGCAAAGCTGAACTCTGTTGAAGTCCATGGCACGTATGTACGTAGGCTCCCTGGGGTTCTTCATGCCTACGTAGTCCTTGTGCATGCATCTATCTGTCTGTCTGCCGTCTGTCTGCAGTCGACCGCATGAGCTGCAGCTGCATGATGACTCCAGCGGCCCATTGAGCCTGAAGAGCTCGTTCAGCCCGAAGCTGGCAAAGCCCATGACACCAGTGGCGAGAACTGTAGCATCCGTCCCTTTGTACAGAGCACCAAAGCCTCGGGTGAAGAAATGACTCCTCTTGGAAGTATGCTGAAGTATGCAAGCCGCCGGTTCTCGCCTCCGGCTTCCAGTAGGCTCTTCGCCGTGCTTTGGAAGTCCCCCGTCTCCCCTGAACAAAGGGAGCAGTCGTAATCAGTCGTACTACCGTCATGCACCAATGGCACGGCACCTGCATTCTTGTCATTGGGAGGGCTGAGCCTCGGAAAGCGGCAAACACGATTTCTTGCTTCCCCTCTTCGCTCGTCCCGTCACTTCTGAGGACGGGGGCTGCTGAGTGGTCTTGACGACCTGCGGGGACACGGCGCTTCACGAAGCGGGCTGAGCTGGGCTGGGCCTCCAGAGGCTGCAGCACCGCACGGACCACCGCGCTGCAGACGGCTCCGGAGATGGCCAGGCCTGGCTCGCGGGCGGCTCGGGGGCCCTCTGTCGTATCTCTCTTGGCTCCCTTGGCTCCCGGCGGAGGTACTGCGAGGCGTCCAAAGCCCGTTCGCGAGCGACCGGAGATCTTCCCAGAGGACCGAAGAGCGGATCCAAGCCTCAAGGGGAGAGGCACCGAAGGCACCGAGATAAAGAGCGACAGCGTCTTCAGGCAAGGAGCTCGCGGGGCGCTCCGGCGCCGGCAGCTCCGCCCCCGCCAAAAGGCCAACACCAAAGCCCTGAAAAACATCCGAGACAAAGACAGGTTTCTGTTCGGGGCCTGGCCGTTTACAGCTATCTGCAGAACCCTCACACCGTCTGTTTGCACCTTATGCCTTCAAGCCGGCCCGTGATGAAAGCGCGGGCCACTGGCATCCTTGAAGGTCTCTCGGAGTTAATTTCCGCGCCTCGCCGCCATCAAGGTTCACCTCCAGGGAGGACAGAGCTGCGGCGGCAAGGAGGGCCCGCTCGGTCGGGCGATAGAAGCCTCAAAAGCTCCTAGTCCTAGTCCCGGTTACTAGCACTTCCCTACTGGTCTTGCTGTCACCGAACAGGATCTGGGAAGGGGGCTGGCGGTGCCGTTCCACACGGACTCAGGCAGCGCCAAACCATCCTGTGAGCAGGCGAGGCCATGCCAGGCCAGACCAGGGTGGGCCAGGCGACCAATGCCAGCCTAAACCAAGCTAAGGAGCTGGGATGAGCGCAGCCAGTCGACGTGGAAGGGATTCCTTCGGCAGCCGCTGCAAGGCAGCATCCGTGGCAGCTGCCGCCGCGTCCAAGTTAGAGCTGGGAATATCCACCTCAAACACCCGCCGGCGGCTCAAAAAAAACCACACAAAAGCGCGCACACACACACACACATGGACACACCCTTTCGGGAGTAGCTAAAGATTTATTACGTGGTGGGGTTCTCAGCTTGGCCCCTTGCCATTCAGCTTTCAGCAAGTACGTTTGCACCCCTCCATGGGGGTGTCTTCGTGGGCCGGTGACCCCAACGAGAGTACCGGCCCCCTGCACTTCTTGCTTTGTTATCAATGTGTTACACATCCCCCCCTCTTTGGCCCGGGGGGGGGGCGTGGAAAATGGAAATTTCCATTTAATTTACTACGTGGGGGTCCCCCCTGCCTCTCTCTCATTCTGTCTGGAACGTGGTCTGCTTACCCTCCCCCCCACCCCAGACCTTCCTGCGGTTGTGTGCGGCCGTTCGGCCACAAGTTCAACCAGAGCTTTTAGGGCATCCAACATCATCATACATCATCCAACTACCCAGCTGCCTGCAATTTGTTTCTTCGGCCAAGCCATAAGTTCAACCAGAGCTTCGAAAGCATCCAGCTACCCAGCAGCCCGACGTCGACAGGCTCGCTTTCCGAGGGAGATCCTGCTGCACCTCCCGAGGAGGCTGAAGAAGGAGCCATGCCATGGTTGTGGATCAAGGTTGGCTGCAAGCGGGTGATGCGGAACCGCAGACACTTGAAGAGGGTGAGAGAAAGGGCCCGCCACCTGAGGGATATCCTCATCCTCTTCTCGAAGAAGCCGAAAAAGGACGACGACAGAAGGAAAGATGATGACTGGCTGAAGGACGATGACAGGTACAACGATGACATGCACGGCCAGCCTGACTGGGGGGGCGATGACAAGCATGGCCAGCCTGAGTGGGGCACAGCCTAGGAACATCT